CCCATAGAACAAAACACATTGATCTACACACCCTGGCTCAACATAACAGTGTCCCCAGAGCAGGGGCGGTGTGTTCAATAGGGCGATATGGGCGACGCACTGCCAAACGGGAAAAGGAAGGGATTTTTTTTCTAATCAATTATATCACGGCAACAGTAGTTATCAGTGTTCTAATCTGATCTGACTGCCACTAAATGTCAAATCAGGCTAAAGTCGTGCTTCAAATGGCCCCGCCCGTTTTTGGGGCGATTTCAGTCATGTTGAAAATCGCCCAGAAGTCTGTCATAGACTCCCATGTAAAATCTATTTTTTTTAAATTTCAAAGCTTTCAATACAATCTCTATGGGTGTCTGTGGGCTTGCACTTACGCGCTTTCGTCATACGTGACGTAACCATGAACGTAACTAAGAAAATAGCGGCTAGCAGCGTCTCTGTTGCGACCTGCAGTGTGGCGTTATCTTATGTTTTTAATTTGTACACTTAGTGGCGTTATTTTATGTTTTTAATTTGTACACTTAGTTTACAAACATTCTGCCAACCATGGATTTCCAGTGGTGGGTTTTGGACTGATCTTGTTGATCGTGTACATACCCGCTACGAACGGACTAAATAATGAAAACGCTGCTGGCAGCGGAATCCAATACAGCTGGGAGACTTGGCTGGATGACAGAGTCCCGGACAGAGAAGTGGAGCCGGCCGGCTTCACCCTGGTCAGAGCGGACCGCGATCTGACACAGTCACAGGGAAAATCGATCCTGGTAAGAGAGCGACTCTGTACCCCCGACATTGAACTGCTTTCTGTGTCACTGCGACCTTACTATCTGCCCCGTGAGTTCCCCCAATTGTTTGTTACCGTTGTGTACTGTTGATAATCACAAGTTTACTGGAGAACTGAGACCAAGTAGAGACTTTGGACAGGGTGGATATGGTATAATAAAGGCAGTTTATTCAGAGGTAAAGATATCTGGAATTGCGTGCACGGACTCGTTCGTCAAACTCTTAGGGAGCTATCTGAAGAGAGCCCCGAAAACATTGTGTGCAGACATTTTATACAATAAATGATGTAGGTTGAATCTAGTAGTTCTGATCTTCTGATTGGTCCTGATGAGTTGGGCGAGGTCCCCTCCACTGTTGCATTGGCTCTGAGTCGGGTTCTCTGTCTTCAAATGTTCAGCCTAAAGAGAGTGTGTGTGTGTGTGTGTGTGTCCTCAGAGCAAGAACTCGTGAGTTGGAAGAACTGAGAGACCTATGGCGTGGGTGTTGTCCTTGGCCACCTGCTGACAAGGCTGACAAGATAGGACTCTTTTGTCCATTGTTATAGGATAGGAACAGCATTGATTGAAAACAAACGCCCAACACAAAATGGGTCATGCACAAGATTTTAGTCAGACCAAGCTATAACATTATATATTTACTACGACAGTACATTCAACCAAAAGCTAATATAACAAAGGCATCAGAGATTATTTATAATCTGTCACAGAAACTGGAATCCATCTCCCCAGATCAGTCAATAAATGCTTCTGGTATTGACTTATATGCTGCCCCTGTCTTCATGTTGTTGCTGGACATATCTTTTTTAAAATGTGTGTAGGTCACCTAAATCATCAGAAAAATTGCCCCTCCTGAGAATTTTTTCAGGAGCCGCCACTGCCCCAGAGCCAGGGCGTGACAGTACCCCCCCCTAAAGGCGCGGACTCCGACCGCGTCAACCAAATACCACAGGGGAGGGACCGGGTGGGCACTCCGCCTAGGCGGCGGATCCGGCTCCGGGCCTGATCCCCGCTCCCTCTCCAACCCCCCAAAGTACCCCTGGTCCGGTCTGGCCCCGCTGGCCGGAGCTGGACTGCACACTGATGGAGCGGATTGCTCTAGCTCCGGCGTAAAACATCTGACCCGTGCCGAACCAGGCACCAGTGGAACAGGCACGGGCCGTGCTGGACTGACAACGCACACCACTGGCTTGGTGTGAGGAGCAGGAGTGAGCCGAACCGGGCTGACGAAACGCACCACTGACTTGGTGCGGGGAGCAGGAACGGGCCGAGCCGGGCTGACGAAGCGCACCACTGACTTGGTGCGGGGAGCAGGAACGGGCCGAGCCGGGCTGACGAAGCGCACCACTGACTTGGTGCGGGGAGCAGGAACGGGCCGAGCCGGGCTGACGAAGCGCACCACTGACTTGGTGCGGGGAGCAAGAACGGGCCGAGCCGGGCTGACGAAGCGCACCACTGACTTGATGCGGGGAGCAGGAACGGGCCGAGCCGGGCTGACGAAGCGCACCACTGACTTGGTGCGGGGAGCAGGAACGGGCCGAGCCGGGCTGACGAAGCGCACCACTGACTTGGTGCGGGGAGCAGGAACGGGCCGAGCCGGGCTGACGAAGCGCACCACTGACTTGGTGCGGGGAGCAGGAACGGGCCGAGCCGGGCTGACGAAGCGCACCACTGACTTGGTGCGAGGAGCAGGAACAGACCGGACCGTACTGGGGACACACACCACTGGCCCTACACCGGGATCTGGAACGGGCCGGACCGGACTGGTAACACACCCCAGTACCTCTCGCCGTGCCTCTACACCTTCCATCCCCTCTTCGACCAGTGGCCCCCGTAACCTGGCGGCCTCCTCTGCCAACCCGCTGGACCGCTCTATCGCGGCCTCCTGCTGCCCCGACGTCGTGAGCCCCCCCCTAAAAATTTTCTGGGGGTCTCTCCTCCCCGTGGGCCAGGCCTCTATAGTTCTCGCCCAACTCTCGCTCTTCTGCTTCCAACTCCCGCCATTCAGCTCCTCAATTGGCTTGACCCAGTCGAAGCTCTTCCTCCACTGTTCCCAAGTCCACCCTCTCTGCTCCTCACTAGGCTTGACCCAGTCGAGGTTGCCACGGAGATCTGCCAGCGATTCCCCTGGCGATGGCTCCTGGACACGCTGCTTGGTCCAGTTTTGGTGGGATTTTCTGTCACGATCGTCTAACAGAGATGAGGACCAAGGCGCAGCGTTGCAGGTAAACATACTCTTTATTTAGCGTCAAATGACCAAAACAACAAAACGATATCGTGACAGTTCACGGTCTAACACAAACCGACTGGAAACAAAATCCCACAAACACGAATGAAAAACAGACTGTATAAATATGGCTCCCAATCAGAGACAGCCAGCAACACCTGACACTCGTTGCCTCTGATTGGGAGCCACTCTGGCCAACATAGAAATAGCACCCATAGAACAAAACACATTGATCTACACACCCTGGCTCAACATAACAGTGTCCCCAGAGCCAGGGCGTGACAGAATGAAAAGACAGAACAAGCAAAAAGATTTGAGAGCCGTTGGTTACTGCAATAGATCATAGAGCTGCCGTTGTGAACTGTTGCCGTTGGTCATGCCAATCCCAACCAGTCTAAAAACACACACAAAAACATACTTAGACCCAGTTTACACTAAGGTGTTTTGGCCATGAATACGATCAATGGTGTCAAGATACCACATTCTGTAGCCTAAATCTCTGAATGAATATGAATGCAAAATGCCATAGCCCAAGGAGTAGGATGCGTACATGTGATGTCATCAGTGACCAATTGTCCCAGCTTTGGGCAGCTGAATCAGTTCAAGGCAACAAGGCATGCAATCATCCACAGGCCTAAATTGACAGAACCTGAATAGTTCATGTCAACCAGTGCATTTATCTGTGGCTTGCAAGCTCACACACTACTATTTTGTAATTTCCTGTTGACAGTAAAAGGCGTGATGTAAATAACAAAACTGTATGTACATGTACATACACCACCACAAACATGGGAGAAGACAGTAGCTGTGTTTTCACACAGACACACTTCGGTACCTCTGAGAATAGTCTCCTCCAGAACTGGGTCTGCACATCTGTGGGATGGCATGGGCGGTTAAACGGTTATGGTCACTTTTGCCAGTTAGTAGCTACTATGTTGTGTACATGGCAAAGGTGGGTTTGTCACCAGGCTGTCTTTAAAGCTCAATCCACATACTACAAGATTGAGTCTCAAAGACATATGATCTCCAAAACGGGTAGCTATCAGGTGGTGTAGAGCGAGAATTTACACTTACCAGTGGAACTCGCTGGACCTGAGGAAACTGTTCCAGCTGTGGCCATTTCTGAAATGTGCACTGTTCTTGCTAAGTGTCAACAAGTTAGCTGCCTAAATTGCATGGTATATTTTTGTCGAAGCAATTGTTCTAGTGCGTTTCCACACAACTCTGATCCAGGGTCGTCAAGCCAAACAAGCTGGACCGAGTGACTTCGCCAAATTCTGGCTACCCCACATTGGCAAAAGTCTCTCTGCTTGTTTCGCAGGGGTGAGCTGAAGAGTTGGGTTACTCCCCTGAAAAGAAAACCTAGTTAGCTAGCAAGATGGCTCCCCTGACATTGACAAACTCATGGCAAATTGTAGACGTGTTGTTGTTAGATTCACCGGTCCTGGCTGGTTATTGTTAGCCAATATGAACTAGCTAGCTAGCTACCTTGGCTAGCTAACATTTACAATAGATTTACATTTTAGTCATTAGCTGACGCTCTTATCCAGAGCCACTTACAGCTAGTTTAATTTAGCTAGTTGGTTCAAATTTGCAAGCCACGTTGGCTTCCTAATCCTAGCAATGAAAATGGCTATTTCGGATATTTCACATGGCTAACTAGCTAAGCAATATACGTTTTGTTTTAGAATGACTAGCTAGCTGCACTTAATGACACCATCTCCCATCTCACCTTTTTTGGAATAGTTTTCAAACAACCAAGGTAACCTAGCCTAATTTGCTAACGTTAGCCAAGATTAACGTTAGTCTGGTAGTGCTAGCAACTAATCTTGATGACAATGGATTTCTCTGCTTAGCTATCAAGTTAACATATACATTAGTGGATGCCTATCTGGGCATCATCTCAGATTTGATTCGGTGGTGTTTCTGTTAGTTTCCCCGGAGATTGTAAAGATAGCTAGTGCTGCCCAACCCCGCATCGAAAAACACACTGCCCCGACATGCACAGCCAGCTGTGGTGTTTTATTATCATCACCACACCAACCGAACCGGGAAAAACTAAAGGCCAAGGAACCAGTGCAGGGAACGAGAGACGGGCAGCAATCCAAACTGGTCCCTCCACCGCCTCCTTTCACCTGAAAAGTGTAAGTAAATGACGGTTACGTATGTAACCACGGTTATGTGAGTTATTGGATCGCTCCAATAGGGTATCCTTCCATGTGGCAGGATACATTCCGAGTAAGAATTTCAGATTAGTCCCGTGTACCGGCTAGTGCTGCGGCTGACCCCCTAAATAGCTGCCGCTGCACTACTTCCACCTCGTGTCTTTTTCGAGGCGCCGTAGATCACAGACAAAGAGGATTGGAGTTATCCAATAGCTCACATAACCGTGGTTACATACGTAACCTTAGTTATGTAGCACTATATTGGATCACTCCAATATGGTTTCACAATACCAGATGAATCGGTGAACTAGGTAAGGGCCAGACCGAGAGCAACAATGACTCGATAGTACTTAGAGAAGGGTGCTAGACGATGCCCAACTGGCCGAGGCACAAATGTCATTGAGGGGAACTTCTTGGAGCAGTGCCCACGATGTAGCTCCTCTAGTAGAATATGCCACTACAGCAGACGGCAGAGGCCGGCTGGCCAGCTAATATGTTGTAGTAATAGTGTCCACAATCCAATGTGAGAGTCTTTGTATTGATAGGCTCTGGCCCAGAACTCTCTAACCATAGCAAATGAATAGCCGAACAGACTGTCGAATTGTCTGTGTCTGTGTAATGTAAGTGTCCAACGCCTTGACCCGGGCAGAGCACACTTGGGGAAAAAACACCCAGCTCACCCACAGCCGCGGGAGGAGCATATGCGGACAAATGTAAGGGCTGGTTCACATGTCTGTCAAACAGGACCTTCGGCAAGAATGAGGGGTTAAGACGGAGGGTGACACTCATCTTGTCTGGGCCCATTCTGAAAAACATTCAGTGCTCACTGAAAAGGCATGAAGTTCACTCACCCTCTTAGTGGAGGTAATAGCCAACAGGAATGCCACCTTTATGGATAGGTGCTTCAAAGTCATTGACTCTAGGGGCTCGAGGGCGGCTTAGCAAGCGCTGACAGCTCCACGTCAATGTTCCAGTTTGGCACAGAGCGGGCCATTGCTGGACACAGACGTCGAACTCCCTTCATAAATTTGGAGAGCAATGGGTAGCCAGCCATGGGTCCTTCTTGGCCTTCATCATGGCATGCCGAGATAGCGGCTAAATACACTCTCAATGTGGATGCCACTCATCCTGCATCAAGCAGTGACTGTGAAAACTGTAAAACCGTTTACACATATGGCTCTCAAACCAGGTACAGAATATGCCCAACCGCATTTGATATGACGCATTGGTGGAAGAAACCGTGGCGCTCCACAACATGTTCACAACACATTGTGCTGAAGGCCTAGACTGGTCCACTAACACCTCTCAGAGGCCAAGCCCGAAGCTGGAGGTAGTGCGGGTCCGGATGCCACAGTGTCCCCCCAGCCTGAAGAGAAGGTCGGGCCTCATGGGCAGCTGGTCCCCGAGAGGAGAGACAACAGAAGGCTGAACCATGGTGGTCTCGGACAGCATGGAGCTATCAAGAGCTGCTGGTGGCCAATCAAGATGACCCTGTCTAGTGTAACTGTGATCAGGGGACATGATCGGAAAGCGTAAAGCGGCGTTGCTGGCCAATCATGAGCGAGGGCGTCCAGACCCATAGGGTCCGACATAGAGATCCAGCTGGGGAAATTTGTGCTCTTCCAAACCTGTCCCAAAGCTGTAGCACCACCTGAGGGTGTAGACTCTAGTAACCCCCCCCCCCCCCATGGCAAGAGCTCCCGAGAATTGGATCAGGAAATACTGTCCTACAAGGTAGGGCTGGAACTGTTGAAGAGCTAGGCGAACCACCCTGAGCTCCAGCACATTGTTGTGTTGACCACTCCATGGGGGGATCCAGTGGCCAGCTGACTCTAAACACGGCACCAAAACCCGTCAGAGAGGCTTCAGTTGAGGCTTCAGTTCACACCAGCTCTCTGCGGTGGACTCTGATCAGGTTCACCCCCTTTAACAGGAAGGAGCGTGATAGCCACTTCGATAGGGTCCTCAAACATACACTCATCACCAACAGTTGACGGTGTCTGTGTTGTTTTGGGTGCCGGCCATGGGAGTTGAACCATCGCTGGAGTGGCTTGATGGAGAATGCCCAGCGGAACCAACAGTGAAGCCACTGTCAGTAGGCCGAGTAACTGTTGGCACTCTAACACCGACATGGCTTGTCCGAGCCGGAAACGGTTGAGGTACGATAGGATTTTGTTACTCTCACCTGAGGGAGACGTGCCCTCATGATAATCGAGTCTATGGACATCCCAAGGTAGATCACTTTCCGTGAGGGGGACAGGTGACTCTTCTCCTTGTTTAGGGTGAGGCCCATAACTCGAATGTGGTTCAAGAGGGTCCTTGTGTCCGTTGTGGCCTGTTCCCTGGATTGGGCAGACTATCCAATCGTCCAGGTAAGGCAGTTACTCCTCCAGTAGAATGTGCCACCACAGCAAAAGGCAAAGGCTGACGGGCCAGCCGAAATGCTGCAGTAACAGTGTCCACCATGCAAGTCCGGTCGGATAGGCCCTGGCCCAAAACTCTCTCACCATAGTTAACGAAAACTGACAAAGCTTTCGTATTGCCTGTGTCTGTGAAAAGTGTCTATTGCCCTAGCCGGGCACAACGCACTGGGGGAGGCCCCTAGTTCACCCGCAACAGCAAGAGAGGCGTGTGTGGACAACTGTAATGGCCGTTTAACGTGTGTCAGACAGAACTATTGGCCAGAATGAGGTTTGGATGTAGGTTGACACTCCATCTGAACTCATTCGGAAATATTCAGTCAACCAGGGCATCAACACTAGAAGACCCTGAGACATTTGAGGCGCCAGAACTATAGCGGTGGCCAGCGTTGGAGTTCGTAGCCTTCCATCACCACACTGCTTAGATGTGGGCAGGGACACCTCGCATTTCTCAAGGCAAAAAGCCATACTGGAAATGGTAGTTTCTCTCTGTGGGAAGAAGAGATGGGTAGTATACCCTGCAGTATAACAAATTAATATGGCAACCCCAGCTACACACTGCGTAAGACCAGCAGTGTAATCTAGCTGTTATGTGAGTTTCTAAGGGAAACTAGGATAGTTACTGTCAGTACTGTAAACTAATGTAACAAAACTATAGTAAACCCATCTATATACTGAAACCCTCAGCATAATAGATCTGAGATGTACGTTTCCAGGGGAAACTAGGATAGTTACTGTCTTAACTGTAAGTACAACAGAACTAGTAACCCCAGCTACACACTGTGCAAGACCGCAGTGTAATAGCTGAAAAGTGCGTTTCCAAGGGAACCTAGCATAGTTACTGTATGTAGCCTACTGTAAGTAGTGCAACAGAAAAACTATAGTAAACCCAGATACACTGTGTGAAAAAAACTGTAATGAAATAGAGCTGTCAGTTTCCAATTAAGGAATAGTTTACTGTCTGTACTGTAAAGTAGTGCAACAGAACTATAGTAAACATCTACACACTGAATCCCTCAGTGTAATAGAGCTGAGATGTGAGTTGCCAAGGGAAACTATGATAGTTACTGTCTGTACTGTAAAACAACCCGGCCCGAAGGTAACAATGCCAAAAATACAAATTCAGTCAATTTGTTGGAACAACAGCGACACTAGGCAGTGGTAGTAGATATGTGCAACTAGTTATCATGACAATAATAAAGAGGGCTACAAAAGGTTTTGCATATTATTTTTATTTTTCAGTGGCAAGAGAAGCAGTGCAAACATGAAAAAGTACACAGAAAAGGTAACATTTAATTTGGATAGCATAGTCCCCCTAGGTGTACAGATCAACTAATTATTCAATTAATTATAAACACACTTACTAGCTCTAACCACAACCCTTTAATATACCATCTAAATAAAGTCGGCCCAGAGATAATAATAATCTAATAATCGATCATTAGATTAAACATGAAGTGTTGTTAGACTAAAGCTCAGGTTATAAAAAATATTGTAGTCATGTTGCCTCTAACATGTGTTTGGCTTCCAGGTGAACCCTGGTTCAGGAGGCATCTGGGGGGCCGTGTAGCCTGCAGTGGGCTCGTAAAAGGGGTTTGGGAGTTCGTCATCAAAGCAGCTCCACCTGGCCTCTCCACTCTTCCTGCAGCACGGGTATGCCCTGGTCATTACGGCAAACTCCTCGACACAGAACTTGGCGAGTGCATTCTGCCACTGCAAGGAGAGAAACATAGAGACAAGTATAGAATAACTTAAAATAAAGGATTCCAATATGCAATATATTCATAAAAAATACACACACTCATCATCGACTCACAGCTTGCTGAGCACAGCACAGGATCTGGACGTTTTGCTGGGCTACTTCTCCACTGCAGCACATGCTGTACCAAGACTCCAAACGATTTATGGCTTTTCCACAGCGCCGGAAAAAACTGACACCAGAGCGAGGAAAGAAGCTAGGTGGATACCGGGGTCGACTCTGTCCATAGCGACATATGGCAGCAAGATTCTGTAGGGTAGGGAATGCAGGAGGGAAAGGGACGTCAGGCTCCTGCAGAGAGCCAAAATTCTGGGTACCTGTGAATATAATAAAATGTATGGGGAAAAAGAGGGAGCATGATAAAATATGATACATTCAGACAATCTGTTTCATAGCAGACAAATAATAGATTTGAGTGTAATCCCTTTCGAAATTGTATGAAAACATTATACAATACCTCCAAGTTTTGCACAATCAAGAGTCAGTAGTGCAAGTAACCAAGAACGTGCAAAAAATCCAGCCGAAATCATGTTTTGTTTGTTGTTGTTGGAAGGAAAAAAAACTCAGTTCTCCTCTTCTGTGAGGTTCTGCATGGGAGATAGAAGTCTTCTGCTTTCCTTCAAGTTTGTCCAAGCTTTACTGTCCTCATCTTCAACCTGCTTTTATCCAACAGATGGTAGGGGGAGTGAGTCCCGGGGCGTGCCACTCTCCTGAATGTGAAATGATGCGAGCAGGGTGTAGATACTGGAAAAGGAAGGACAGCAAGTACTGAGTACGTCACAGATGAGTACCTGTAATCAAATGAGTGCTGCTAGGTCTTTCATTATAATCTTGGAAATCATTGCAAATGTTTGCGATGTTAACCTTTCCTCCATTTATCTGGTCAATTTGTCAGTATATGTCTGTTGTTTGTAACAGTGTGTTATATGTGAAAATGTGATTGTATTATAAATTGTATTTGAATGTTTAAGGACTCTTGGAAGATTAGTCCAAATGAGGACTAAAAGAGATCCTAATAAAATCAAATCCGTCGGGTCATATATCCACTCCTTTGGGCATGACTTCATAAATAACATGTAGGCCTTTTGCCATATGATGATCAGATGTAGCCAGTTAGCCTATCATTCATACCTGTTGACCTTTTAGGACTACGCTCTTTTAGATTTGTTCCTAAAGGGGTACAAACGCTTGTCACTGGGGTGGTACCCTGTAAGGTACATCCGTTGTACGTTTAGTTATAGGTACATAATTGTACCCCAGTTCATACCTCAGATAGTACCTTTTTTTACATATAGTCCACAGGTACAAAAGCATGCTTTTAGAAAGGTACATTTAGCCTTTATAGAGAACCACCACAGTGACAAAGCCATTTGTTCCTTGAAAGTGGTACAACACTTCCACTAACGGGTGGCCAAAAATAACTAACTGGAAACTAAGCCACACCTCCAATATAATTTCCCAGTGTGCCTTCCAACTGGGCACAAACTGGTCGACTCAACATTGTTTCAAAGTAATTTGTCAACGTATTGTGACATGGAAAATACATTGCAATCGAAAAAAGTTATAAACTGTTGTTTTGAGGGTGAAATTTAAACCACAGGATTATGTCATCATTAACCAAATTTCAACATAGACAAATCTGTATAAAATATGTTGAATTTGCACCTTTAAAACTTCAGATTTTCAACGTTATATCCACTCTGAGAAAATAACAATAGGCTGGGCAGCACCTACTGGAGAATTGATCGAGGCACTGGTCGAGGCACTGGGAAACTCCTGCTGCATCCATTTTCGTTTGGTGTGTGATTCTGTGACGAGTACTGAGTATACGAAGAGGCAGGCCGCAGACGCAGGAATTAACAAGGTCAAGGTTTTCCTTTTCCATTCCCCCCCCAAAAAACAACAAAAATAAAACAAGGTCAAGGTTTTCCTAACAATGAGAAAGAGAAATAACAAAGATAGCGTAAACAACATGAAGCTTAACAATCACACACAACATCATACAGAACAGTCCAGGGCTAAATAGGGGTGGTGATGAGATGATGAGGTGCAGGTGCGCTGGAGGTGATTAGGGTGCTTTGGGTATCCATTCCGGTGTTGCCGAGGTGGTGCGCTCAGACCGGTGGCTCAGTAGACCGGCAAATCAGAGCGCCAGAGGGGAGCAACGGGAGGAGACGTGACATAGATTAATATCTGCCTTGGCTTTTAAAAAAGTGTCTTTATTTTCTCCTTCCTATTTCTGCTCAACTAAAAGCCATGTAGATTATACTTCAGGATGTTAATTTGGTGTGGCATCATAAAAAAATATAGGGTGACATACTATGTAGGGCTAGGTTTCATATCTTTGCATTACCTGGTTTTAACCAAGCCCTGCTTATATTTGTCACTGACTATTACCAATGTGCTATCGTGAGAATGATTGTTGAGAGATCTCCACTTAAAAACTAAATAGATTGACTTTTGCTACCGAAGTCACTCCAAAGGGTAGGTTTAAAAGAGCAAATTAAATGTGACCATGCTTTATCACTCATATGGTGCCTTCAGAAGGTATTCATACCCCTTGACTTATTCCACATTTTGTTGTGTTACAGCCTGAATTCAAAATGGATGAAATCAATATTTTTCCTCACCCATCTACACGTAGTGGCAAAGTGAAAACATGTTTTCAGAAAGTTTTGCAAATGTATTGACAATGAAATACAGAAATATCTCATTTACATAAGTATTCACACACCTGTGTCAATACTGTGTAGATCACCTTTGGGAGCGATTACAGCTGTGGGTCTTTCTGGGTAAGTCTCTAAGAGCTTTCCACACCTGGATTGTGCAACATTTGCCCATTATTATTTTCAAAATTCTTCAAGCTCTGTCAAATTGGTTGTTGATCATTGCTAGACAACCATTTTCAGGCGGCAGGTAGCTTAGTGGTTAAGAGCGTCTGCTAAATGACCAATTTATTTTTTATTTATAGTTTTTCAAGTAGATTTAAGTCAAAACTTTAACTCGGCCACTTAGGAACATTCACTGTCTTCTTGCTAAGCAACTCCAGTAGATTTGGCCTTGCGTTTTAGGTTATTGTCCTGCTGAAAGGTGAATTCATCTCCCAGTGTCTGGTGGAAAGCAGACTGAACCAGGTTTTCCGCTAGGATTTTGCCTGTGCTTAGCTCCATTCCGTTTATTTTTTATCCTGAAAAACTCCCCAGTCCTTAACTATTATAAGCATACCCAGAACATGATGAAGCCACCACAATGCTTGAAAATTTGGAGAGTAGTACTCAGTAATGTGTTGTATTGGATTTGACCCAAATATAACACTTTGTTTTCAGGACAAAAATGTAATGGCTTTGCCATATTTTTAGCAGTATTACTTTAGTGCCTTGTTGCAAACAGGATGCGTGTTTTGGAATATTTTTATTATGTACAGGCTTCCTTCTTTTCACTCTGTCAATTAGGTTAATATTGTGGAGTAACTACAATGTTGTTGATCCATCCTCAATGTTCTCCTATCACAGCCATTAAACTCTATCTGTTTTAAAGTCACCATTGGCTTCAAGGTGAAATTCATGAGCGGTTTCCTTCCTCTCCTGCAACTGAGTTACGAAGGATGCCTGTATCTTTGCAGTGACTGGGTGTATTACTACACCATCCAAAGTGTAATTAATAACTTCACCATGCTCAAAGGGATATTCAAAGTCTGCTTTTTTTTACCCATCTACCAATGGGTGCCCTTCTTTGTGAGTCATTGGAAAACCTCCCTGGTCTTTGTGGCTGAATCTGTACAGATAATTGTATGTGTGGGGTACAGAGATGAGGTGGTAGTCATTCAAAAATCATGTTAAACACTATTTTTATTTTTGTATTTTACCCTTATTTTACCAGGTAAGTTGGCTGAGAACACATTCTCATTTACAGCAACGACCTGGGGAATAGTTACAGGGGAGAGGAGGGGGGATGAATGAGCCAATTGGAAGCTTGTATCGATGCAACTTATTATGTGACCTGTTAAGCACATTTTTACTCCTGAACTTATTTAGGCTTTACCATAACAAAGGGGTTGAATACTTTGACATTATGGGGTATTGTATGTAGGCCAGTAAAAAAAACAAAGTAACATTTAATATATTTTAAATTCAGGAAGTAACACAACAAAATTTGGTGTCACGGATTCAGCCGAGGTTGCTCCTCCTCCTTGCTCGGGCAGGCTTCGGCGTTCGTCGTCACCGGAGTACTAGCTGCTACCGATCGATGTTTCTATGTTCTACTTGTTTTGTCTTCATTGTACACACCTGGTTCCCATTATGTCTATGATTTGTTCCCTATTTAACCCTCTGGCTCCCACTGTGTTGTGTGCGTGTTTGTTCTATGTTTGGTGTTATCGACTGGTGAGCGGGATTGTCCTCCCTGCGTGGAGTTTATGTTCATTTGTTATTTACGAGTAAAGTACGTTGTCTACTAGCTCTGTGTCCTGCGCCTGACTCCGTCCTACCGCTACACACTGACGCCTGACATTTGGAGAAACTCAAGAGGTGTGAATACTTTCTGAAAGCGCTGTATATCATAAATTATGCTATTTAGGCCTATAATAATATAATAGCCATATTTAGAAAAAACTAAGTTCCAAAGACTGGACCTATAAGTGTGTATAAGCGATCATACAAGAGGTTTTGCAATGATTCCCATGTCGAAGATGTGAAAAATATTTGTTGGTCTGATGTGTGTAATGAGGAACAATTTGAAGCATTTATGAAATAGCTTCTTCCGACTACTGATAGGCATGCGCCCATCACGAAACTGACAGTAAGAACTGCCAAATCCCCATGGATAGATGAGGAATTTAAAAACTGTATGGAGAGTGATAAGGCAACGGGAATAGCAAATATGTCTGTCAACACACCAGATTGGCAAACATACAGTAAATTGAGAAATCATGTAACTAAACTAAACAAAAAGAAGAAGAAACTATACTATGGAACAAAGATAAATAGTATACAGAATGATAGTAAAAAGCTCTGCAGTAGGCCACCTTAAAAATTACAATAAAAAGCTCCATCCTGAGCTCCATCTTTCATTGAGGCAGATGGCTTGTTCATAACAAAACCCTTTGATATTGCCAAACACTTTAATAACTTTTTTGTTGACAAGATTAGCAAACTTAGGCATGACATGCAAACAACAAATGCTGAGCCTTCATATTCATGCATAACCAACCAAATAATGAAAGACAAGCACTGTAGTTTTGAATTCCGCAATGTTAGTGTGGGAAAGGTGAACAAATTATTGCTGTCTATCAATAAGTACAAACCACCTGGTACCAACAACCCGGACAGCCGACCAATCAGCCTGTTACCGGTGCTTAGCAAACTTTTGGAAAAAATGGTTTTAGACCAAATACAATGTTATTGTACAGAAAACTAATTAACAGACTTTCAGCATGCTTATATGGAAGGGCACTCAACATGCTTGGCACTGACACAAATGACTGATGATTGGCTGAAATAAATTAATAAGAAGAAGATTGTGGGAGCTGTTTTATTAGACTTCAGTGCAGCTTTTGATATCATTGATCATAATCTATTGCAAAAAACGTGTGTTATGGATTTACATTCTCTGCTTTATTTTACATTTTAGTCATTTAGCAGACGCTCTTATCCAGAGCGACTTACAGTTAGTGAATACATATTTTTTTTATACTGGCCCCCCGTGGGAATCGAACCCACAACCCTGGCATTGCAAACACCATGCTCTATCAACTGAGCTACATCCCTGCCGGCCATTCCCTCCCCTACCCTGGACAACGCTGGGCCAATTGTGCGCCGCCCATGAGTCTCCCGGTCGCGGCCGGCTGCGACAGAGCCTGGATTCGAACCAGGATCTCTAGTGGCACAGTTAGCACAGCGATGCAATGCCTTAGACTACTGCGCCACTCAGGAGCCCCTTTATCATGGATTGAGAGTTACCTATCTAATAGAACACAGAGGGTTTTCTTTAATTTAAGCCTCTCTAATGCACATTTCGGTTGAGTGTGGTGTACCGCAGGGCAGCCGGCTTGGGCCAGTATTGTTTTCTGTTTTTACTAATGACCTTCTACTGTGTCTATGTACACTGATGACTCAACAGTATAGACGTAAGCTACAACAGTAAAATAAATAACTGACACCCTTAACATAGAGCTCCAGTCAGTTTTAGAATGCGTAACTAGCAATAGGCTGGTGCTAAATATCAAAAAAACTAAAAGCATCATTTTTGGGACAAATCACTCACTCAACACTTAACCTTATCTAGATCTATTATTGAATAATGTGACGATTGAGCAAGTTGAGGAGACTAAACCGCCGGGTGTAAACCCTAGAGAGCAAGCTGGCATGCTCAAAACAGGCCTTAGTTTTGTTGCACCTGGACTACTGCCCAGTTGTGTGGTCAGGTGCGGCAAAAAAGGACAAAGGCAAATTGCAGTTGGTCCAGAACAGAGCAGCACATTTTGCACTTAGATGTACACAGAGGGTGAATGTCAATAACATGCACGTCAATCTCTCCTGTCTCAAAGTTGAGGAGAGATTGACTGCATCACTATTGGTCTTTGTGCGAGTTGTTGAAGGTACCGAACTGTTTGTTCAAGCAGTTGGCACACAGTTTGGACACTCATCGGTACCACACAAGACATGCAACCAGAGGTCTCTTCACAGTCCCCAGGTCCAGAACATTGTCTGGAAAATGCACAGTATTAAATAGAGCCATGACTACATGGAACCTTCTGCCACCTCAGGTAACTCAAGCTAGCAATAAAACCTGATAAAGAAATTGATAAAAGAACACCTTATGGCACAACAGGGACTGTGAGGAGACACACAAAATGTTTTATGTATTTTGCATTGCATTATGTATTGCGTTATGTGATGTGTGGTTGTCTCGCCTGGCTATCTTGAGATGAATGCACTAGCTGTGGGTCGCTCTGGATGGGAGCATCTACTAAATAACTAAATTGTGATTTAAATGTAGTGCTATGTGTATTTTATGTATTTTATCTGTTGTGTTTTGATTTTTGCTTTGACCTCGTGGTTGCGTTGACAACCAAAAACGATTCAATATCACTTTTGAAATATAAGAAATAGCCTATTACCTTGTTAACAAATTCTATTTTTTACATTTTAGTCATTTAGCAGATGCTCTTATCCAGATCGACTTACAGTTAGTGAGTGCATACATTTTCATACTGGCCCCCCGTGGGAAACGAACCCACAACCCTGGCATTGCAAGCGCCATTCTCTACCAACTGAGCTACAGGGGACTATATGTTGGATTCATGTCTCCAACTCAACCGAAAATACAAGTCAAAGAATGGGAAGCTAGTATGCTCATATGGAACTATCCAAGCAGTAGATACATCTCCTTTAAATGTTGGTATTTGGTTATGCTGTCAACCAAACACAATTCAAAATTACTTTTGCAATACAATAAATAGCCTAAAGTTAAGGCTATCTTACAAACTAATGTAACATTCAACCTTAAAGTGAGTAATACATCCATGGCCACATTTTGAGGTTACTGTAACTATCGATTTCTTCTTATGTAATTAAATAAAGCTATGTTCAAGATAGCATGCATAGGTCATCGAAGGTCTGTTGAGATCTTCACAATTGCTGTAATAATCTGTGCAGAATCTCAAACGCCATTGGTCACTTGCACCATATACTTTGAATGTAATCTAACTGCATTCCAGGTCAACCTCCCGAGTGGCGCAGTGGTCTAAGGCACTGCATCGCAGTGCTAGCTGTGCCACTAGAGATCCTGGTTTGAATCCAGGCTCTGCTGTAGCTGGCCGCAACCGGGAGACCAATGGGGCGGCGCACAATTGGCCCAGCGTCGTCCAGGGTAGGGGAGGGAATGGCCGGCAGGGAGGTAGCTCAGTTGATAGAGCATGGCGTTTGCAACGCCAGGGTTGTGGGTTCGATTCCCACGGGGGGCCAGTATGAAAAAAAAAAGATGAATGTATGCACTAACTGTAAGTCGCTCTGGATAAGAGCGTCTGCTAAATGACTAAAATGTAATTTGGATCTGCTATTAGATGAAGCACTGTGATAACACATTCATCTAATGCAAATGTCAAACTCATTCCATGTTGAAATTACGTAGTGTGCCCAGCATCTTCGAGTGAACTGTATAGTTACCACCCATGACTGTATTTGTTAGTGACAAAGACATGGTTGTTGTATTCTTTCATTTCCAGTCCTGTGGCCAAGACCAAATGAGTTCCTAGGCTAATGTTATCATTAAAATTGAACTCTTTATGACAATCCATTACATATCTCATAAGGCCTTATTTTACCCTAACACAGTGGCCTGAACCTAATGGTTTACAGGCCACATCAGGCCTGCAAGTGGGGTTGCAAAATTCCAGTAACTTTCCCCAAATTCCCAGAAATCCTGGTTAAAAGGATTCTGGATTTACTACGTCAATTTCTCTCATTTCCAGGAATATTCTAACTGGGATTTCTGGAAAACCTGGGAAATTTGGGAAAGTTACCAGAGTTTGAAACCCTACCTGCTGGCTTGCAAAGTGATGTGTAATTCCTATCAGAATCCAGCCAGTTAAGATATCCAACAGTTGGAATTTTTATTCACCCACAACCTGCATTAAGAATGACTGCCAGGGTTAGGACCAATGTGAGGAGACGACCTAAGCCATTTAAACTGGAACAACCATTTCAGTAATGGGTGCAACAAAAAATCTAACTAACTGATCAGATTAGTTTAGACAAATGTATGTTATTTATATTTGTGCAACATAAGATTAATCAATCAATATACATGCAAAAACACATATCAAAAACATATTTTTAAAACAATCTACCTGCAGTAGAGCATGCTGGGAAATATGATAATGATTATGGTTCAAATTTGCCTTTTTAGGGTACCAGTGACAAAGCCGTTCGTTTATTTTAGGTCGCAAAAATTCATAGTTGTACCTTATGGTAGATACAAATATGTACCTTTCTTCAATACATAGCTTTTCTGCTAAGCAAAGGTACAGATCAGTACCATCGAGTTGAGGGTACACAAAATACGTTTGTACCCTGGGAAAGAGAAATGTATTGTAAATTGAGAGTGAGAGTGTGATGATTGTACCTTTTTTATATAAAAAATATTGGGTACAAACATGTACCATTATACTAGATTATCCGCACATGTCCCCTAAAAGGTACCGAACAGTACCGTGTGAGATCATATGTGTACCTCTGAAGGTACATTATGTGTATTTTGATGTTATTGTACCCCAGGGAACAATACTTGACCCTTATTTCTAAGAGTGTACAGATCGGACATATTTGTAGGCCGTACTTACATATTGAATGCCTGTGATATACAAGAAATACTGCCTCATGATATCTCAGTCACAAAATTACCTGTTTCCACTTTGTCACACTCCTGTCCATCACCACCATTGCCTGATTGGCAACATTGACCTTGATGGTTAGCCCATCAATAGCATCCCTTTTATTGTTGTAGTCCATATGTTTCTTCATTGCCAACTTGTCAAACATGAGCGCCACATTTCTCTCATTCCTCATCAGTCAACCTGGTCTCAGAGCATTTTATATTATTCTGTACGTAAATCTGAGATACTCCATTTAGTATGATGTTACGTTTCGTATGATATGTATTCATTTGTGGATGTCAATCACCCATTTCGCATGATATGTTACGAATTACAATTCGTATTATATGTTACAAATTAGCAAAACATACAATATGTTACAAATTTGCAAAACTTGTGATATGTTACGAATTCTAGCTAAGTGGCTAGGTGGCTAATGTTAGCTAGGCTAGGGGTTAGGGTTAAGTTTAGGAGGTAGGTTAAAGGGTTAAGTTTAGGGTTAAGGGAAGGGTTAGCTAGAATGGTTAAGGTTAGGGTTAGGTGAAAGGTTACCTAAAAGGGTTAGGGTTAGCGGAAGGGTTAGCTAACATGCTAAGTACAGCGCATACACTTTATCCACATTTTGTTACGTTATAGCCTTATTCTAAAATGGATTAAACAGATGTCTTTCCTCATCAATCTACACACAATACCGCATAATGACGAAGCAAAAACTGTTTTTTAGAAATGTTTGCAAATGTATAAATAAATAAAAACTGATATCACATTTACATACAGTGAGGGAAAAAAGTATTTGATCCCCTGCTGATTTTGTACGTTTGCCCACTGACAAAGAAATGATCAGTCTATAATTTTAATGGTAGGTTTATTTGAACAGTGAGAGACAGAATAACAACCAAAAAATCCAGAAAAATGCATGTAAAAATTTTTATAAATTGATTTGAATTTTAATGAGGGAAATAAGTATTTGACCCCTCTGCAAAACATGACTTAGTACTTGGTGGCAAAACCCTTGTTGGCAATCACAGAGGTTGGACGTTTCTTGTAGTTGGCCACCAGGTTTGCACACATCTCAGGAGGGATTTTGTCCCACTCCTCTTTGCAGATCTTCTCCAAGTCATTAAGGTTTCGAGGCTGACGTTTGGCAACTCGAACCTTCAGCTCCCTCCACAGATTTTCTATGGGATTAAGGTCTGGAGACTGGCTAGGCCACTCCAGGACCTTAATGTGCTTCTTCTTGAGCCACTCCTTTGTTGCCTTGGGTGTGTGTTTTGGGTCATTGTCATGCTGGAATACCCATCCACGACGCATTTTCAATGCTCTGGCTGAGGGAAGGACGTTCTCACCCAAGATTTGACGGTATATGGCCCCGTCCATCGTCCCTTTGATGCGGTGAAGTTGTCCTGTCCCCTTAACAGAAAAACACCCCCAAAGCATAATGTTTCCACCTCCATGTTTGACAGTGGGGATGGTGTTCTTGGGGTCATAGGCAGCATTCCTCCTCCTCCAATCACGGCGAGTTGAGTTGATGCCAAAGAGCTCCATTTTGGTCTCATCTGACCACAACATTTTCACCCAGTTCTCCTCTGAATCATTCAGATGTTCATTGGCAAACTTCAGACGGGCATGTTTATGTGCTTTCTTGAGCAGGGGGACCTTGCGGGCGCTGCAGGATTTCAGTCCTTCACGGCGTAGTGTGTTACCAATTGTTTTCTTGGTGACTATGGTCCCAGCTGCCTTGAGATCATTGACAAGATCCTCCCGTGTAGTTCTGGGCTGATTCCTCACCGTTCTCATGATCATTGCAACTCCACGAGGTGAGATCTTGCATGGAGCCCCAGGCTGAGGGAGATTGACCGTTATTTTGTGTTTCTTCCATTTGCGAATAATCGCACCAACTGTTGTCACCTTCTTACCAAGCTGCTTGGCGATGGTCTTGTAGCCCATTCCAGCCTTGTGTAGGTCTACAATCTTGTCCCTGACATCCCTGGAGAGCTCTTTGGTCTTGGCCATGGTGGAGAGTTTGGAATCTGATTGATTGATTGCTTCTGTGGACAGGTGTCTTTTATACAGGTAACAAGCTGAGAATAGGAGCACTCCCTTTAAGAGTGTGCTCCTAATCTCAGCTCGTTACCTGTATAAAAGACACCTGAGAGCCAGAAATCTTTCTGATTGAGAGGGGGTCAAATACTTATTTCCCTCATTAAAATGCAAATCAATTTATAACATTTTTGACATTGACATGATTTTTTTGTTGTTATTCTGTCTCTCACTGTTCCAATAAACCTACCATTAAAATTATAGACTGATCATTTCTTTGTCAGTGGGCAAATGTACAAAATCAGCAGGGGATCAAATACTTTTTTCCCTCACTGTAGTATTAAAGGGAGTGTTCCGGATCTACGTACAGAATAATACTAAATACTCTGTGACCAGGTTGCATCAGTAGTTCCATCATTTCAATGAATGAACAAGAGGAAAAACTAATATCTTATCTTATGTCCAGACCAGTGGAGGCTGCTGAGGGGAGGACGGCTGGAATGGAGTGAATGGAATGGGATCAAACCATGTGTTTGATGTATTTGATACCATTCCACTCATTTCGCTTCAGCCATTACCACAATGTCATCCTCCCCAATTAAGGTGCAACCAACCTCCTGTGGTCCAGACCATTTACTCATGTAGGGGGCCACCAATAATATTAAACTGGTTATGGTGGTCACTCAGGGATACAATAATAGGGTGAAGTACCAAGAATAAAGTCTGCCACAAACTCCATTATTTAAGTACAAAGTTAGCTGTGTCAGTGAATAATAGCCTGTTCTGCTGACAAAGGAAAATAACTGGGGGAGGTTGCTGTGCACAGCACAGAATACACATTCTATGGCCTACCTAAAGCGTTAGTCAGTCGAGCGTTCCTTGTCTTCATTACAAGAACATTCAGTCATCATACCCCTAAAACAAAACAAAATGTTCACTTTGTGCCAAAATGCCCAGTTTTCTATTGCACCATGACAACTTTGGTAAGCACACAGGCTTTAGTTTACACAAGCACTAGCACACTCACATGGTCTCCATGCAGATAGTATCCCACAGGCCTCATTCAAGAAACTGGCATCCTGTCAAGGACACATGATGACATGAGCAAATGTTTCATGTTACAAAAATAGCTCTTGCAAACCCACATTTTTATGTTGAAGGTTATTATGACAACACATTGTGATTAAGCCTACTGGATTGGCCTTATCAAAATAAAACAAAAAACAAAATAAGAATTCTTGTTTTGCCTCTTGACAAATAGAAAAATATGCTTTATTGTCACGTACAACGTATAGGTGCCGTGAAATGTGTTGTTATAAATAGTTTACCTGTCCATGTTGAACTTGTAACCTGAGAAAGTGGATCTTGATTGCAATAACTTTCCCTTTTATCTACCTAATGTCTGTGAAACAATGAAATGTGTGTTCTGCACAATGTTAATTTTTACTTTTAACAATGTCAAACAATGTCTCCATCCATCATTTGATAATTTGAGTGTGTTGTGTTTAAAGTTCCTGTAGGGTGTGACTAAAGCCATGTTTTCATTCACCACCCTGAACATAAATAATGTAAATGTTATTCAATAGCATTGCATACAATTTCCTCAGTAGCGAATCAGATAAAGACCATGACTCACCAGCTCTGAAAACCAATAGGTTAGAGGTGAAAATTGTTGGGAAACATAGCAATAAAAAAACATAAAACATTGGTTCCACATCCTTTGAAATGAATGCATAAAGAGATTATGTAACCATCACATGATTATGTTAAACAACACATTTGTGAGGAGATGCATTAGCCAAGCGGGTTTGAACCTCAGCGGTAGGGGAGAGTGGGGTAAGTCGTGCCAAAGGGTTAGTTGTGCCACCCCTTGATTCTAGGAAACCATACACCAAATTAATAATGTAGAGGTCATCATTGCATTGAGTCTGTGAAGGCAGAAACCACATGGAAAATGTGGTAAGCAAGTTAGGTCTAAAAAACGGATTTAACCTAGTCAAAATAATGTATTGTGTTATAGGTTTCATGATGCTTGTATCTCAACCAAAGTAGATAGTTTTAAGACTGTTTTGTACATCAGTTGGGATCTCTATAAGCTACAATATGAGGTCCTAAACCTAGCATGAAAGCAGAGGCAGCTGGTGGGAGGAACTATAGGAGGATGGGCTCATTGTAATGGCTGGAATGGCATTAATGGAATGGAGTCAAACAAATGGTTTCCATATGTTTTTTTAGTACTATTATTATTAATTTTTTTAGGGGGTAGATCAGCTTTAATATTGCAGATAGATTGTAACTTCCATCAATGTAATTGTCTGCATCACTTCCAATCCCCCTTATGTTTTTTTCCCCTCGCAAATATATATATACATACATTTACATTTTAGTCATTTAGCAGACGCTCTTATCCAGAGCGACTTACAGTTAGTATTGTATATATATATATATATATATATATATTTTTTTTTCATACTGGCCCCCCGTGGGAATAGAACCCACAACCCTTGCGTTGCAAATGCCATGCTCTACTAACTGAGCTACATCCCTGCCGGCCATTCCCTCCCCTACCCTGGACGACGCTGGGCCAATTGTGCGCCGCCCCATGGGTCTCCTGGTCGCGGCCGGCTACGACAGAGCCTGGATTTGAACCAGGATCTCTAGTGGCACAGCCTTAGACCACTGCGCCACTCGGGAGACGTACATACACATCCTTTAAAAAAATATATTTCCCTTTATTATCTTCCAACCCCACCTCCCATTTTAGTCATTTAGCAGACGCTCTTATCCAGAGTGACTTACAGGAGCAATTAGGGTTAAGTGCCTTGCTCAAGTGCACATCGGCAGATTTTTCACCTAGTCAGCTCAGGGATTAGAACCAGCGACCTTTCGGTTACTGCCACAAAGCTCTTAACCACTAAGCTACCTGCCACCCCTTCCCTATTTGGAGTAAACTAGTGAACAATAACGCTTAGGCCTCTACTTCCATTTTATACATACTATATACATTTTCCTCTACTTCCTCTACCCTCAACCTCTCCGATCATTTTCATGATGTCCATCCGGTTTGCTTCTATATGCCATATCTTTCTAACTGTGCTCTTTCACAAAAGCTCTCAACCTATAACCTATATACTTATTATGCTTATTATGGACACAGTATGCTTACATTATTAGTTATATTGTTGTTATTGCTTGTTGTTTGATGTTATTAGTCCCATCCTTCAACTCCATTCAACACCACCCATCTATCTCTTAATACCATCCATATTGGATTTCTATTTGCCATATATTTTTCAACTGTACTGTGTTGTTTTACAAAAGTTCTCATTGTTTCTACAGATTGTAAATTGAAAATAAACATTTTTGCTAAAAGTATTATTATATTATTGATCGATTGACTATGATTTTTCAGATCAACCAGTAATGCTATCTGCAGGGTTAGCTCCAGGTAAATATTGCAATCCTTTAGCCATTCCTGGACCTGTGTCCAAAAACAAACTACAAATGGACAGTACCAAAACAAATGATCTAATGATTCTGTCTCTTCGCAGCAAAATCTGCAGAGCTGGGAAGATTGTATCCCCAATAAAAATAACATTCTCCCAATATAAATAACATTCTATTGGTTGCAAGAATTGTATATAATAATTTAAATTGAACAATTCAACATTTTGAATCCGGTGACGTTTTGCGTATCAGTTCATAAACACTATGCCATGGGATCGGTACGTCAAAAATCTCTTCCCAACTATTTTGCAATCTATATGGGACGGCTGTCAATCTTTTGGTCCTTAAATGAAACTGGTATACTTTTTTATTTATCACAGTTTTCTTTAACCAATTATGTTCTTTAATGCAAGGTCGACAGACAAGTTCCTTACTTTTTCCCCCTTCCACTTTCCTCTTCCATTTTTGCTGTAATGCTGCAATTATTTGGTTGTAATTTTGGGTAGAGCAGACATTTCCATATGTTTTTGTTAGCTGCATGTGCGACATGACTCCACCAGTCCCACCGATGAGATCATTTACGAAGATTTTGAAACATAAAAAAAAAGCAGGTTTTTTATTCATTAGTATATTTGAGTTTAACCACAATATTTGTTGCATTATTTGTTCTGTCATTTCTGGAGGATTAAATGTAAATTGCAACCAACTTTCTATGGCTTGTTTTAGAAATAGTGATATTTGGGAGAGGATTTCCTTTTCAAATAACTGAAAGTGAGAGGTTGTAATCTGAATAAAGGGTAAAAGGCCATTCTTGAACATTGGGTGAGACAATCTTACTAATTTGCTAGAGAACCAGTTCGGATTTAAGTATAACTTTTGTATGACTGAAGCTTTTAGTGATAGGTCTAATGCTTTAATATTTAATAAATTCTGTCCTCCGAATTCATATTCATTATATAAATAGGCCCGTTTAATTTTGTCTGGCTTGCCGTTCCAAATAAAAGGAATATTTTTTTCTCATATAATTTAAAAAACTGTTCACTGTTCAATAGGTAAACTGGGATAATACTAAAGATTTAATCAGGGTGATTTTCCCACAAATTGACCTTTCCATGGTAGCAAGATCTTTTCTATTTTTGCTAACTTTCTATTAAAATGTATTGGAGTGAGATAATTTATTTCATTTGGGATATGTTATTGGTAAACTACATGGTAAATGTACATTTTTAATTTTTTAGTGATCCAATACGTAATATAGTACATTTATCATAATTTGGTTGTAATCCAGAGATGTTAGAAAATGTATCTAGATTTTCTATGAGGCTGTGGAGGGATTCAAGTTAAAAGAAAACATGAATCATCAGCGTACAATGACACCTTTGTTTTTAAGCCCTGGATTTCTAATCCCTTGATATTATTGTTGGATCTGATTTTAATAGCTAACATCTCGATGGCCATAATAAATAGATATGCCGATAGTGGACAACCTTGTTTCACTCCTCTTGACAGGTTAAAACTTTCTGAGAAATACCCATTATTTACTATTTTACACCTAGGGTTACTATACATGATTTTAATCCAATTTATAAGAGATTCTCCAAAATTGAAATGCTCCAGGCATTTATATATAAACTCCAGTCGTACTTTATCAAATGCCTTTTCGAAGTCTGCATGTTTGTTTCCATATGTTTGATGTGTTTGATATGGTTCCATTAATTCCATTCCAGTTATTACAATGAACCCGTCCTCCTATAGCTCCTCCCACCAGCCTCCACTGCATGAAAGTGAATCTTTGCTTTAGGTAAATTGTGCCATTTGGCCAGGGTCAAGTTGAGCCAATGGCTAATCATGCTTACCCAGTCCCTATGCTCAATTTACCCCATGCCCAGGGTTAGTTGCGCCATTTTTTGGGACAAGCTATGTTTTCAAAACTGTTATGTTTACATTTACATTTTAGCAGACACTCTTATCCAGAGCGGCTTACAGTTAGTGAGTGCATACATTTTCATACTGGCCCCCCGTGGGAAACTAACCCACAACCCTAGCGTTGCAAGCGCCATGCTCTACCAACTGAGCTACACGGGACATGAGTTCTGATTATTTCCAGGAATACACAACATCCTGAAATACACTGAGTGTAAAACATTAGGAACACCTGCTCTTTCCATGACATAGACTGACCAGGTGAATCCAGGTGAAAGCTATGATCCCTTATTGATGTAACCTGTTAAATCCACTTCAATCAGATCAGATGAAGGTTAAAGAAGGATTTTTAAGCATTGAGACAATTGAGACATGGATTGTGTATGTGTGCCATTCAGAGGGTGAATAGGCAAGACAAAATATTTATGTGTCTTTGAACGGGGTATGGTAGTAGGTGCCAGGCGCACCAGTTTGAGTGTGTCAAGAACTGCAATGCTGCTGAGTTTTTCACACTCAGCATTTTCCCATGTCTATCAAGAATGATCCACCACTCAAAGAAATCCATAAACCAGAAAATATTCAGAAAAATATTAAATCCACCGTTTGCACAGAATGATAAAATGGATACAATTATTATTTTTCCTCATCAATCTACACACAATACCCCATAATGACAAAGCAAATGTATTACAAATAAAAAACAGAAATACCTTATTTACATAAGTATTCAGACCCTTTGCTATGAGACTCGAAATTGAGCTCAGGTGCATCCTGTTTCCATTGATCATCCTTGAGATGTTTCTACAACTTGATTTGAGTCCACCTGTGGTAAATTCAATTGATTGGGCATGATTTGGAAAGGCACACACCTGTCAATATAAGGTCCCACATCTGACAGTGCATGTCAGAGCAAAAACCAAGCCATGAGGTTGAAGGAATTGTCCGTAGAGCTCCGAGACAGGATTATGCCAAGGCACAGATCTAGGGAAGGGTACCAAAAAATGTCTGCAGCATTGAAGGTCTCCAAGAACACAGTGGCCTCCATCATTCTTAAATGGAAGAAGTTTGGAACTACCAATACCCTTCCTAGAGCTGGCCACCCGGCCAAACTGAGCAAACGGGGGAGAAGGGCCTTGGTCAGGAAGGTGACCAAGAACCCGATGGTCACTCTGACAGAGCTCCAGAGTTCCTCTGTGGAGATGGGAGAACCTTCCAGAAGGACAACCATCTCTGCAGCACTCCACCAATCAGGCCTTTATGGTAGAATGGCCAGACGGAAGCCACTCCTCAGTAAAAGGCACATGACAGCCTGCTTGGAGTTTGCCAAAAGGCACCTAAAGGACTCTCAGACCATGAAAAACAAGATTCTCTGGTCTGATGAAACCAAGATTGAACTCTTTGGCCTGAATGCCAGGTGGCACCTGTCCTAGCAGGTGGCACCTGACAAAGGTGCCAGATCTGTACTGATTGGCTCCTATCTGGAAGCCAAACCTAATATAGGGCCATGCACCCATTTTTGTAAGTTTGTTGGCTAGTAGGTCTAGTCCTGTAGGTCTGAAATTGGCTGGTACGCTAGCCTACCATATGTAGAATCCATTTCGCATACCCTTAAGATGTGTTTTACTGCTTTTTCCTGTCCTTCTCAAAGAGAAGCTGTCAGGGATAACCATTTGTACTTTTTTTGTCATAAGGATGAAGGGGTCACTGCAATGCTTCACAGTTCTTCTGCTTGGTGGTAAGTACTAGATAGTGAGCAAGCAATCTTTTTTTCTTATTGAGACCAAAATATTTTGTGTAGACAAAACTGGAGGATAACAAGGTCAGGTCCTGTTATTGTCCGGAATAACAATGAATTGCACTGAGGGAGAGTTTCAGGTTTTCCCACATGAAAACATACTATAGTATAATATGGTATAAATATTGTAGTATTACTATATTTATATACTGTAGTATTTACAGTAATGTTTTTGCGGACATGACTGTAGTATACTGTAGTATTTACTGTAGTGTTTTTGCTGACTTGACAGTAGTGCACTGTAGTATTTACTGTTGTGTTTTTGCGGACATTACTGTAGTCTACTGTAGTATTTACTATAGTGGTTTTGTTTTATTATCTTTGACATAGTAGTGGAGGCTTCCTACTTGAGGAAACTTACTCGACAAATACTAAAAGAGCACATTTTCCATAACCTGTAGGATTTGCGTCTGAACAGATAGTTGAGCACTTCTGCTCTTTTCTATAACATGTAGAGAACACAATACAGTGAGGGAAAAAAGTATTTGATCACCTGCTGATTTTGTACGTTTGCCCACTGACAAAGACATGATCAGTCTATAATTTTAATGGTAGGTTTATTTGAACAGTGAGAGACAGAATAACAACAACAAAAATCGCATGTCAAAAATGGTATAAATTGATTTGCATTTTAATGAGGGAAATAAGTATTTGATCCCCTCTGCAAAACATGACTTAGTACTTGGTGGCAAAACCCTTGTTGGCAATCACAGAGGTCAGACGTTTCTTGTAGTTGGCCACCAGGTTTGCATACATCTCAGGAGGGATTTTGTCCCACTCCTCTTTGCAGATCTTCTCCAAGTTATTAAGGTTTCGAGGCTGACGTTTGGCAACTCGAACCTTCAGCTCCCTCCACAGATTTTCTATGGGATTAAGGTCTGGAGACTGGCTAGGCCACTCCAGGACCTTAATGTGCTTCTTCTTGAACCACTCCTTTGTTGCCTTGGCCGTGTGTTTTGGGTCATTGTCATGCTGAAATACCCATCCACGATCCATTTTCAATGCCCTGGCTGAGGGAAGGAGGTTCTCACCCAAGATTTGACGGTACATGGCCCTGTCCATCGTTCCTTTGATGCGGTGAAGTTGTCCTGTCCCCTTAACAGAAAAACACCCCCAAAGCATAATATTTCCACCTCCATGTTTGACGGTGGGAATGGTGTTCTTGGGGTCATAGGCAGCATTCCTCCTCCTCCAAACACGGCGAGTTGAGTTGATGCCAAAGAGCTCGATTTTGGTCTCATCTGACCCAGTTCTCCTCTGAATCAGATGTTCATTGGCAAACTTCAGACGGCCCTGTATATGTGCTTTCTTGAGCAGGGGGACCTTGCGGGCGCTGCAGGATTTCAGTCCTTTAAGAGTGTGCTCCTAATCTCAGCTCGTTACCTGTATAAAAGTCACCTGGGAGCCAGAAATCTTTCTGATTGAGAGGGGGTCAAATACTTATTTCCCTCATTAAAATGCAAATCAATTTATAACATTTTTTTTGTTGTTATTCTGTCTCTCACTGTTCAAATAAACCTACCATTAAAATTATAGACTGATCGTGTCTTTGTCAGTGGGCAAACGTACAAAATCAGCAGGGGATAAAATACTTTTTTCCCTCACTGTAGAACATACACCAACAATGTGTTGTGATTACATTACACCAGAAGAATATGTACCACCAATACACATTATTGTCAGATATATAATTCAGAAAATACTTGTATACTGTAATGTACAGTAGTTTATCGTAAATGTATAGTCCAAGAAGGTATTATTCAATGTAAATTCATAGATATACTGCATGTTCCTATATTATAAGAACTGCATCCTTATAACACTGCCACAATAACAATGTACTGTACCTATTTCTCTCCCTCAGATTGGTGAGTCTGTGTTGTCAGAGGATTGCCTCATGATCATTTCTTTGTCAGTGGGCAAACGTACAAAATCAGCTGGAGATCAAATACATTTTTCCCTCACTGTATATGGTCTATACTTGGCATGTAGCTTTCTCACCCATGGGTGGCACAAATTGGCATATGGGGGAGGGGAATGGGTGGGGTATATGCAAATTCAATACTGTAGTATTACTATAGATTTAAAAATGTAGTGTTTTTGCAGACACTAGTGTTTTTGCAGACATTAATGTAGTTTTTTTGTGAATAATATTGTAGTATTTACTATAGTATTCTATAGTATACTACAAAATTATATAGTAAGTACTACACATGATCGAGGGATACTACAGTGTTTTGTGTATTCTACAGCTTACTACAACATCAGTAAGTACTACACATGTTAGAGGGATAGTACAGTATGTAGTATAGTATTCTACAGTATACTACAAAATGATATGGTAGCACTACACAATCGAGGGATACTACAGTGTGTAGTATAATATTCTACAACATTCTATAGTAAGCACTACATGATTGAGGGATATTACAGAGTGTAGTATAGTATTCTACAGTGTACTACAATTTACTACAGAATGCTATACCATTCTATAGTACATACTATAGTATACTATATTAAACTGTAGTATGTTTTCATGTGGAGTGTTTTTCCCATGAAATTTACCAAGGTTGTCTTTCTCTACAGACTAAACAAAGTCAGATAACAACGTTTTTCTCCCTCACCAAATCATAATATTGTCATTATCTAGCACTACTTTAACTGCACTATCAAGTTTAACTTCAGAATTTATGTTGCATCAGAAATAGATATTGTGTAATGTTGGTGGCTTACTTATCCTAAGTGAACTAAACGTGTTTTCCATAGATTTGATTTAAAAAATTTAAACAAATGGTTTCTGCTGGGCCGGCAGGGAAAGAGTTTGTCGCAGCCTTCATGCAAAATTATATTGAAGACTATAAGGGCTCAAGCTTTAAGATTGAAGTGGCAGCTCACCCCCACCTCCCTCCACCTCACTAAGGTCAAGGTAACTGCCCTTGGGAAGGTCTACGAGAAGACAGTTGGCCCTGGTAAAGGCGTGACCTTTGACCTACCCGAAGGAGTGGAGATGATTGGCAGCAAGAAGAACCTCCCAACTGTCCTGATTGAAGCTTCCCAGGAGGTCACAGTGTTGTCCTTCAACTAGAAGAAGGAAACAGCTGACACCTCTGTCGTCTATCCCGTGAAGGACTGGGGAACAGAGTACTTCATCTTCACCCCCAAGTCAATCGCTGGTGATACATTCTCCAAAGAGTTTTCCATCACCAACAAACAAAGAGAATAACTTTAGGGTTTAGGTTTATCTGACTTCCCCGGTGACATTCCAAAGGCAAACGTATCATGAGAGTGTACAGATTCAGAGCCAGTTTGATCTGAGTGGCTCCAAGGTGATCTCTATGCTCCCAGTAGGAGTCTTATCAGGACACAGCTGTACTGAGAAATATACTGGCTGCAACCACATCTATGAGCAGCTCCAGCTCATTAACAGTTGGGGGAATGAATTAATTGTTGCACCACTACCTTTCCATAAAGACATCAACAGATATGATAATCTTTACATCCAAACATCTCAGTTCACTCAAGTTAAACTGAGTCAAACTGGTCTTGATTCCATTATGCTACCAATGTTCCCAGGACAAACGTTTGAGCTCTTTGTCACCTGGCCAAATTCCTATTAATTGAACGCTAACAAAGGCATTCAGGTCCTGTTTGAGTTCAACGGAGGTGATGGAGGTGACGTAGGAAAGAAGCAATACTACGACCCTTTTCTGTTCACCATTCTACCAACTGATCAATTCAGCACTTCATACTCTCTAGAGGCGCAAGTTGGCTTCAACAACATGTTCGTAATGATGGCTCGCACCAAGGACCTGGGTGGGTTCACGGTAGACAAGTTTCCAATGCCCATTAACATTGAGTGGCACAAAGTGGACAGAATCGTGTACTCATGGGCTGAGGTCTTGTATGGTACTGGAGCTAGCTTCCTCCAGATAGCCCATGCTAACTCCCCATTTGCTATCTACAGCATTGGTGGGGCTTATACCAATGGCTACGGGTCCCCTGCCTCTGGTAACCCAAGTATGTCAATCAAATGTGTCATATTGTGTATCAAGCAACAGCGATTCTCCCAAGGGTGACTATTTAACACTAGCTGTGTGACTGTGTAACCATAGTTTGATTCTCTACCGTTAACTTAATCAGATCTATGCCTTGCCTTCTAATGATGCCCTTATGTCCCTAATGATGCCCTTATGCCCCTGAATGCCCAGAGAACAGCCACTATGAGGTGTGTGGAAGGGGCTTCCCTGCCACCTGTGAAGACCCAGAAGGTCCCTCTATATGCAAAACCAGTTGTGTGAAGGGCTGTACCTGTGACAAGGGCTATGTGCTTAATGGGAACAAGTGTGTGCCCAAATCCCAGTGTGGATGCCTGTACAGCGGTCGCTTTGTGAAAGCTGGAGCGTCCTTCCGGGGGGATGAGCAGTGCATAGAGAGGTGTACATGCAACCCATCCAGCTTGAAAATTGAATGCAAGAGCACTGTCTGTCCTCTTGAGCAGGAGTGCCAGATGGTTGATGGGAAGAGAGACTGCCACCCGATGGCCTATTCCACATGCATGGTGTCTGGTGACCCAGAGTACTGCACCTTCGATGGCCACCATTACAGCTTCCAGGGCACCTGTGTGTATCAGATGGCTGGCATTTGCCCTTGAGCACTTTGATGTCCTAGTGAAAATGACGTCCGTAGTAAAAAACCGGGCTCCAGCACTAAGTTGGTGGAGGTCGTTGTTTATGGACACACCATTGTCATCAGCAAAGAACACAAAGTTCTGGTGAGTTATGCTGGGATATATTCACTTTTATTCACTGTTTGTTGTAAATAGATATATCTGTATTTCTTCTTTATTCATCCATTCCAACCAATATTCAGACATTCTACATTTTCTCTACAGGTAGATGAAGAGCCTACCAACCTCCCAGTCAAACTGTTCAAAGGTAAGGTGCAAATGGACCTGAGTAGTGGCTTTGCAGTGGTTCACACTGACTTTGGGGTGAAAGTGTTCTACGACTGGCACTCCACATCATTTGTCACCGTCCCCCACACTTACGCTGGTGTAATGTGTGGCATGTGTGGTAATTACAACCTCAAACTCAACGATGAAATGCAGATGAAGAATGGAAAGCAGGCTGCCACACCAGAGGAGCTTGGTCAGAGCTGGAGAGTTGCAGAGATCCCTGGTTGTGTCTATGGCTGTAAAGACAATAACCATTGTCCTAACTGTGACATCACACAGAAAGAGAATTTTGAGACCAATGAGTTCTGTGGTAAAATCCAAGACCCCAAGGGTCCCTTCCACAACTGCCACGCCAAGGTGGATCCCAACAGCTTCTTTGATGACTGTGTTTACGATGTATGCCTTAACAATGGCAACAAGAACACACTATGCAGTAGCCTCCAAACGTACACTACAGCATGCCAGCAGAAAGGAACTGTGGTCTTTGCATGGAGGTCCAAAGACTTCTTTGGTGAGTCAGACATTCCATATTTCACATTGACCTTATATCAATATTATTCTTTACAGAGTTTTTCCCCCAACATTTATTAATCAAACTTTAATCAATTCCAGAGTTCAAACACCCTGCGAACAGTCACTATGGGATTTGTGCCAATGGTTGTCCTGCTACTTGTGATAGCCTGTCTGCCCCCACCAGCTGTAAGGCTCTGTGTCAGGAAGGATGGGTTTGTGATGCTGGTTTCCTTCTCAGCGGAGACCAATGTGTGCTCCTCTCCCAATGTGGTTGTCTTTAAAACGATAGATACTACAAAAATTGACAAGTCTTCCATCCCAATGGACTCTGCCAGGAGGAGTGCACATGCAATGGCAAGGTAGGTTTACATTGGTATTAGTAAAGCATGCCTATGCATTCAGTAAATAATTCAAATGTAGCTAGCTGTATGTGTATTAACATTTTGGATTGATGGATGCATGGTTTAGTTTGTCAATTAAAATATTTGAGCAAAGAAACAAATCTGTTGACCCTTGAGCAAGGCACTTAACCCTAATTGCTCTGAATAAGAGTGTCTGCTAAATGACTAAAATATTGATCAAATCAAGTGTTAATCTATACACCCAACAATACATGTTTTTATGTGAAGGCTATTTTCATGGCTTAACTAAGTATTTCTTATGTTATTCATCAGGTGAAGTGTGTGAAGTTCAGCTGTGGCCCCATGACAAGTGTGAGGTGAAGAATGGTGTCAGGGCTTGCCAGGCTGTTGGAAAGGGAGTCTGCACTATCTCAGGCGACCCACATTACAACACCTTTGACAACAGCACCTATGACTTCCAAGGCACCTGCACCTACACTGCAGATCAAGGCTGCCATCTAGAGGGCACACACCTCAAGCCCTTCTCTGTGGTGGTGGAGAACGAGAAGTGGTACGGCATGTCAAACCATCCAAACGTATCCGTTGCCAAGCTTGTGGCTGTAGAAGTCTATGGTAACACCATGGTTCTAAGGAAGAATCAAGCGGGAATGATAATGGTTAGTATTTCATTTTACTGGTATGACAAATATATACATACCATTTTTGTGTTTGATTAATTAATATGAGACAATTCCATCATAATTTTAAGATAATAAATGAGGTCATAAAATAAAACTTTATAACTAACCTATTGGATATAATTAGGTAAGGCGTGATACTGACCCTTTGGCATTGTCATATTTCATATGTCATTCATCCAGGTAAATGGAATTATGATGAGCCTCCCTGTGACTCTAAACAACGGAGCAGTGCAGGCCTACCAAGAGGGCACCTATGATGTCATCACAACAGACTTCGGCCTGAGAGTCACCTATGACCTTGTATACCACCTCATTGTCACCGTCCCTGGCAACTACAGGGACAAGACCTGTGGTCTGTGTGGCAATTTAAACGACAACAAGAATGATGAGTTCCAACTGCCTGATGGGAATATAACCAAGGACCTCATGACCTTTGGGGCAGCCTGGAAGATCAGTGTGCCGCATGTGGTTTGTGAGGACGGCTGCAGCGGAGAATTCTGCCAAGTGTGACGCTAAGAATAAAACCATATTTGAGGCCGACTGTAGTCTCATCACAAACCCTAAAGGTCCCTTTGCCTCCTGCCACAATGTGATAGACTCCGCCTCTTACTTCAGAGATTGTGTCTATGATGTCTGCTTATCTGAGGGAGACCGTAAGGTTCTCTGTGACAGCATATCAGCATACATGATCGACTGTCAGGACTTTGGGGTGAACATCAGTAACTGGAGAACACCAACCTTCTGTCGTAAGTATTCAGTAAACTGTGGATTGGGACAGATGTCTTTGGCTTTTTCTATATATTCTGTCTGTATATTCTGATTATTGTTGTCAGCACCATTTCATCAGGTCAAATTCCTGGAACATGCAAATGTACTCGGCGAATAAAGGGGATTCTGATTCCTGCAGTCTGGAGTATTGAGTGTTAAGGCTGGACACAATATCGCATGTCTAATCTATTCCTCTGCAGCCCTGGACTGTCCTGCCAACAGCCACTACTAGACCTGCTCTGAGATCTGTGCCACCCCATGTCCCGGCCTCTCTGACATTATCACCTGCCCCACCACCTGTGCGAGGGCTGTGCATACAATGCAGACTACTACTTCAATGGGACAGGCTGTGTTAAGTGGGACCTGTGCAGCTGTTACCACAAATGACGCACCTACAAGGTGGGGTTTACCTACAGTGAGGGAAAAAAGTATTTGATCCCCTGCTGATTTTGTACGTTTGCCCACTGACAAAGAAATGATCAGTCTATAATTTTTATGGTAGGTTTATTTGAACAGTGAGAGACAGAATAACAACAAAAAAATCCAGAAAAACGCATGTCAAAAATGTTATGAATTGATTTGCATTTTAATGAGGGAAATAAGTATTTGACCCCCTCTCAATCAGAACGATTTCTGGCTCCCAGGTGTCTTTTATACAGGTAACGATGTCACGGTTTCGGCCGAGGCTGCTCCTCTTCCTTGTTCGGGCAGGCTTCGGCGGTCGTCGTCTCCGGAGTACTAGCTGCCACCGTTCTATGTTTCATGTTCTGTTGGTTTTGTCTGTTTCATAACACCTGTCCCTTATTTGTGTCTTAATTGTTTCCCTTATTTAGTTCGTGTGTTTGGGTCAGGTGTTATGCGTGATTGTTTTGTGTCAGACTGCCTCGTTAGGGTATTTTCTCTCGTTGTTGGCTTGACCCGAGAGTTCGCACTGCGTGCGCTTTTCTGGTGTTTTACGCATTGTGTTTTGTGCGTAATTGTTTTGCGCCACCCGGTTGGGTTGGCGACTATTTTGTTCACGTGTTGAACGTACTATAAAGTCTATTGAAGTCATCCTGGATCCTGCGCTTGATTCCTTCCACTCATCTACACACACCACTCTGACAGAATCACGCATCCCCCATGGAATCAGCAGGAGCGACCGCGCCGACGGCCGAGATGGCTGAACGTCTTCGTGGTCAGGAGGACCGCATCAACCAGGTCTGTCATGCCCTGGAGGGGGTGATGAATACTCTGCACCGATGGGAGACCAGCGGGGTTCCCACACCTCCAGGAACCGAACCAGCCCCATCGGCCAGCCCCCCCGTCTCATCTCCGGAACCTAGTAGGATTCGGCTCTCGCTCCCGAGGGCGTACGACGGCTCCACTGCCGGGTGTCAAGGATTCCTGCTGCAGGTGGAGCTCTACCTCGCCACCGTCCACCCGGCGCCCTCGGGACACGAGAGCGTCTCAGCCCTCATCTCCTGTCTCACCGGCAAGGCGTTGGAGTGGGCCAACGCCGAGTGGAGGAGAATGGACGCCGCTACTACGAACTATGCGGAGTTCTCCCGCCGCTTCCGTGCTGTGTTCGACCATCCACCGGAAGGGAAGGCGGCGGGGGAACGTCTGTTCTACCTCCGACAGGGGATGAGGAGCGCCCAGGACTTTGCCTTAGAGTTCCGGACCCTAGCGGCTGATGCAGGGTGGAATGAGCGGGCCCTTATCGACCATTTCCGCTGCAGCCTCCGGGAGGACGTCCAGCGAGAGTTGGCGTGCAGGGACACGTCGTTGACGTTCGACCAGCTGGTCGACATGGCCATCCGGCTGGATACCCTGCTCGCCACCCGTGGGCGTCCCGGAGGGGGGGGTTCGCCCATTCCACTCTCCAGCACCTCCGAGCCGAGCCCTATGGAGCTCGGAGGTGCTGGCGCTAGGGAACGGAGGAGGAGGAGCCCGAGGGGACCTGGCCCTTGCACCAACTGTGGTCGTGGAGGACACACCGCGGCTAGGTGTTGGGGCGGGTCCTCCAGTGGGGGAGATGGCAGGTCACGCATTGGGGGGTCCACCCAGGTGAGTAGGCGCCCTGCTTACCCAGAGCTTTCTGTCGTGCACCTAACCTTGCCTGTTTGTTTCCCACAGGTTGCACCTCGTTCCCAGCATAAGGCGCTGGTAGATTCAGGCGCAGCTGGGAATTTTGTAGATCGCCAGTTCTGTATAGAGTTAGGGATTCCCCTCCTTCCAGTGGATAAACCTTTCCCCGTCCATGCCCTAGATAGTCGTCCGTTAGGGTCTGGGTTGATTAGGGAAGTCACAGCACCCATTCAGATGACGGCGCAGGAGGGTCATGAGGAGAGAATTCAGCTCTATCTGATTGACTCTCCTGCGTATCCGGTAGTGCTGGGTCTTCCCTGGTTGATGACTCATGACCCTATTATTAGGTGGCGAGAGAAAGCTCTTAAAGGGTGGTCTGCTCAATGTGAGGGGCGGTGTCTGGGTGTTTCCATAGGGGCGACCTCGGTGGAGAGTCCGAATCTAATGCCAGCACTGCAGATTCCCCCCGAGTATGAGGATTTGGCACTGGCGTTCAGTAAGACTCGGGCGGCGCAGCTGCCGCCTCATAGACGGGGGGATTGTGCGATAGATCTCCAGTCAGGAGCAGCTCTCCCGCGGAGCCATGTGTATCCCTTGTCTCAAGAGGAGAGAAAGGCTATGGAGACATACATCTCTGAGTCTCTGAGACAGGGATACATACGGCCCTCCGTTTCACCCGCTTCCTCAAGTTTCTTTTTTGTAAAGAAAAAGGATGGAGGTCTGCGCCCGTGTATTGATTACCGCGGTCTCAATCAGATCACAGTGAAGTACAGCTATCCACTTCCTCTGATTGCGACTATGACGGAGTCACTGCACGGTGCGCAGTTCTTTACAAAATTGGATCTTAGGAGCGCATATAACTTGGTACGCATTCGAGCGGGCGATGAATGGAAGACAGCGTTTAGCACGACTTCCGGACACTACGAGTATCTAGTCATGCCATATGGGTTGATGAATGCTCCCTCAGTCTTCCAATCCTTCGTCGATGAGATTTTCCGGGACATGCAGGGACAGGGAGTAGTTGTGTACATCGACGACATTCTGGTGTATAGTCCTACCCGTGCTGAGCATGTAGCCCTGGTGCGCCGAGTATTGAGGAGGCTGTTGGAGCATGACCTATATGTCAAGGCAGAGAAATGTCTGTTTTTCCAGAAGTCGGTCTCCTTTCTGGGTTACCAGTTGTCTGCGTCAGGGGTGAAGATGGAGGTAGACCGGGCGTCAGCTGTGCGTAATTGGCAGACCCCAACCACTGTGAAGGAGGTGCAACGGTTCTTGGGTTTTGCGAATTATTACCGGAGGTTTATCCGGGGTTTTGGACAGGTGGCAGCTCCCATAACGTCTCTGTTAAAGGGGGGTCCGGTGCGCTTGCGGTGGTCAGCTGAGGCGGACAGGGCATTTGGGAGACTAAAGGACCTGTTTACCTCGGCGCCGGTGTTGGCGCATCCGGATCCTTCTTTACCGTTCCAAGTAGAGGTGGACGCGTCAGAGGCCGGGATAGGGGCCGTTCTTTCCCAGCGTTCTGGCACTCCACCTAAACTCCGTCCCTGTGCGTTCTACTCTAAGAAGCTCAGTCCGGCGGAGCGGAATTATGACGTAGGAGACAGGGAGCTGTTAGCCGTGGTACAGGCCCTAAAGGTGTGGCGGCATTGGCTCGAGGGGGCTCAACACCCTTTCCTCATTCTAACTGACCATCGTAACCTGGAGTACATCCGGGCAGCTAGGAGACTGAATCCTCGCCAGGCTCGTTGGACTATGTTCCTAGCCCGGTTTGTGTTTAAGATCACATACATCCCTGGGTCCCAGAACGGGAAGGCAGATGCGCTGTCTCGGCGGTATGACGCAGAGGAGAGGTCAGTTGAGTCCACGCCCATACTACCGGAGTCTTGTCTGGTTGCTCCGGTGGTGTGGGAGGTTGATGGTGAGATCGAGCGGGCGTTACGCACCGACCCGAGTCCTCCACAGTGTCCTGTGGGTCGGACGTACGTTCCGCTCGAGGTACGCGATCGCCTCATTTGTTGGGCTCATACGTCCCCCTCCTCTGGCCATCCGGGTATCGGCCGGACAGTGCACTGCCTTAGCACGAAGTACTGGTGGCCAACGTTAGCTAGGGATGTGAGGATTTATGTCTCCTCCTGTTCGGTGTGTGCCCAGTGTAAGGCGCCCAGACATTTGCCCAGGGGTAAGTTACAACCCCTGCCTATTCCACAACGACCCTGGTCCCACCTCTCGGTGGATTTTGTTACCGACCTCCCCCCCTCACAGGGGAATACTACCATCCTGGTCGTTGTGGATCGGTTCTCTAAGGCCTGTCGTCCCCGAGCTCCGGGTCGGCGCACGGCTGGAGTCGCGCGTCAAGGGGGGGGTACTGTCACGGTTTCGGCCGAGGCTGCTCCTCTTCCTTGTTCGGGCAGGCTTCGGCGGTCGTCGTCTCCGGAGTACTAGCTGCCACCGTTCTATGTTTCATGTTCTGTTGGTTTTGTCTGTTTCATAACACCTGTCCCTTATTTGTGTCTTAATTGTTTCCCTTATTTAGTTCGTGTGTTTGGGTCAGGTGTTATGCGTGATTGTTTTGTGTCAGACTGCCTCGTTAGGGTATTTTCTCTCGTTGTTGGCTTGACCCGAGAGTTCGCACTGCGTGCGCTTTTCTGGTGTTTTACGCATTGTGTTTTGTGCGTAATTGTTTTGCGCCACCCGGTTGGGTTGGCGACTATTTTGTTCACGTGTTGAACGTACTATAAAGTCTATTGAAGTCATCCTGGATCCTGCGCTTGATTCCTTCCACTCATCTACACACACCACTCTGACAAACGAGCTGAGATTAGGAGCACACTCTTAAAGGGAGTACTCCTAATCTCAGCTTGTTACCTGTATAAAAGACACCTGTCCACAGAAACAATCAATCAGATTCCAAACTCTCCACCATGGCCAAGACCAAAGAGCTCTCCAAGGATGTCAGGGACAAGATTGTAGACCTACACAAGGCTGGAATGGGCTACAAGACCATCGCCAAGCAGCTTGGTGAGAAGGTGACAACAGTTGGTGCGATTACTCGCAAATGGAAGAAACACAAAAGAACTGTCAATCTCCCTCGGCCTGGGGCTCCATGCAAGATCTCACCTCGTGGAGTTGCAATGATCATGAGAACGGTGAAGAGTCAGCCCAGAACTACACGGGAGGATCTTGTCAATGATCTCAAGGCAGCTGGGACCATAGTCACCAAGAAAACAACTGAAAACCTGCAGCGCCCGCAAGGTCCCCCTGCTCAAGAAAGCACATATACATGCCCGTCTGAAGTTTGCCAATTAACATCTGAATGATTCAGAGGAGAACTGGGTGAAAGTGTTGTGGTCAGATGAAACCAAAATGGAGCTCTTTGGCATCAACTCAACTCGCCGTGTTTGAAGGAGGAGGAATGCTGCCTATGACCCCAAGAACACCATCCCCACCATCAAACATGGAGGAGGAAACATTATGCTTTGGGGGTGTTTTTTCTGCTAAGGGGACAGGACAACTTCACCGCATCAAAGGGACGATGGACAGGGCCATGTACGGGGCCAAAAACCATCATGACCCAAAACACACGGCCAAGGCAACAAAGGAGTGGCTCAAGAAGAAGCACATTAAGGTCCTGGAGTGGCCAGTCTCCAGACCTCAATCCCATAGAAAATCTGTGGAGGGAGCTGAAGGTTCGAGTTGCCAAACATCAGCCTCGACACCTTAATGACTTGGAGAAGATCTGCAAAGAGGAGTGGGACAAAATCCCTCCTGAGATGTGTGCAAATCTGGTGGCCAACTACAAGAAACGTCTGACCTCTGTGATTGCCAACAAGGGTTTTGCCACCAAGTACTAAGTAATGTTTTGCAGAGGGGTCAAATACTTATTTCCCTCATTAAAATGCAAATCAATTTATAAAATGTTTGACATGCGTTTTTCTGGATTTTTTTGTTGTTATTCTGTCTCACACTGTTCAAATAAACCTACCATTAAAATTATAGACTGATCGTGTCTTTGTCAGTGGGCAAACGTACAAAATCAGCAGGGGATAAAATACTTTTTTCCCTCACTGTAGAACATACACCAACAATGTGTTGTGATTACATTACACCAGAAGAATATGTACCACCAATACATATTATTGTCAGATATATAATTCAGAAAATACTTGTATACTGTAATGTACAGTAGTTTATCGTAAATGTATAGTCCAAGAAGGTATTATTCAATGTAAATTCATAGATATACTGCATGTTCCTATATTATAAGAACTGCATCCTTATAACGCTGCCACAATAACAATGTACTGTACCTATTTCTCTCCCTCAGATTGGTGAGTCTGTGTTGTCAGAGGATTGCCAGGAGCTCTGTACCTGTACTGCCTCTGGTGATGTGAAGTGTAAGGTGAACAAGTGCAAGGCTGACAAAAGATGCCAAGTCAAGAATGGTCACCGGGGCTGCGATCTCAAAAAGTGTTTGATGGAGGCTGATAGCTCCTTCACCCTGTTCAATGGAAGAGGTGGTGAAATCACAGCCATTGGGACCTACGAGATAACCAAAGATTGTGAAAATGCTCTGGTGGAAGTGGTTCAGAGTGGTGGTGAAGTTGCAGGCCTGTGGGAAGACTGGCCTCAAGAGCGTTGTTGCTGTGTACGTCTACTTTAATGACCTGATCGTCACTGTCAACAGCAAGCATGAAACTTGGGTGAGTTCATAGATGATGTACATTCATTTATAGATTATTAAAGATTGTTTATGGATGACACCAGTTCCCTTCGGTATCTAGGATTGTGAGATTGTAGACTATTCCATCCGTGTTACTTTCTTTTTCAATGTTGTTCACAGATCAACGGTAAGAAGGTGACTCTACCCCGCCTGCTGAGTAATGAGGTCTCAGTGAAGGTCTCTGACAAGACACTGACGATTGAGAGGATGTCAGGCCTTCAGGTGTCATACAGCCTCTCTCAGGAGATCACAGTGACAGTGAGTGCCAATATGGCTGACAAGGAGACAATAGTCTCCACCTGACTATGCCGAAATACATGGACGGCTGGATCGCACCGGACTTTCTCACCTGCAGGTGAGTTATCGATCTGAAACTGATTCAAATCTGAAAAGCAATCAATAACATTCAAGTTGTGAAAATGTATGCTTAATTTGGGGGAAAGCTACCTCAGTTTTATGCTCTTTGACCGTTTACAGAAAACCCACATGATTTCACATGTGGAAAATCACATGAAATTCATGTTTTTTCCATAAGGCTACAGTATGTGAAAATGTGATTTAACATTTTGCTTCCTCGCTGTGGACCTCAATTTCATTCTGTGCTCTGTGTGTGGTGACAAAGTGAAAAATGCGGTGCTCATAGTTCTCTTAATAAATTGTGTATCTTGTTTCAGTGGCGGCCTGTGAACACCTTGGACCGTTCTTTCATCCACAAGACAATTTAAAGGGAAACTGACAGCATTTTAGCAACATAAAATCTTATTCAAATCTGTTCATATACACACCTAGCACGTAGATATGGTCATTTTCACGTTTTCATAAACTCTTAGAATGTTTGGGAATTACGTATACAAAGGCATTTGTGAAAACTATATAGTAATAGAGAGTGGGAAAGCATCCGTGTGTTAGGACAATTAATAGACACTGCAGTAAATAAAACATCTGTCTCGTTCAGCAACAGAGTCTACTCAGACCGGTGCACCATAGCCAACCAGAGATACATTAGGCCTTTATGCAAACAAATCATTTGCCACACAGGCCTGCCATCATTCCCTTTGAACTGGACTGTGTGTTTACAGGCAGTTGCAACAGCGCGACCTTAGATTATTAGAACGAATTCGCCAAAAGCCACAAAATACACGAATGGATTTCTGCAAATATGTCAATATTACGGGAGTCCTCTTACATTTGAGAACTTTTACAGTCCTATTGGTCAAACAACCATGAAAAGATAGGTTCTCACTCCCTCAGTTATGCACATCAACAACAACATCAACAACTAATGCTAGCCAGAGCAAGATGAGCTAAAATCTAACGAAGGAACATTAGATAAACCCTCTCAAACTGTTTCAACTAGTTGGCCATCAAAATTGCACAGATAAACGATGGGGGAATTGTAGCCTACTTGTCCTTCTGCAGCTTGCCTGCAACCAAGCATCCAAGCTAACTGGCTAAAGTTGGATAGCTTGCTAGCTAGCTACTTCCAGACATAAATGAGAGAACATCTCACTCTGACCATTTTACTCGCCCTAGCAGAGCTGGTTAGCTAGGCTGTTTGCATGTTATCTAGAGTGTTCGTGACTATTACTTTTTTTGCCTACATTTACTGACACAGGTCATATTTAGCGGGTGTTGCGCGTTCGTAAATTCATCAGTTATTCTACGCTCTGGCGCACACTCAGATGAGAGTGCTCTGAAATCGGAGTAGATAGCCAGAGTGAATTTGCGAACACAAGAGATATGCTAACAAGATAAATCGTTCAAGTTCTTGCTAGGTAACCACCTGCATCTCTAGCCGTGAATAGCCACTGAAAATTGATATGAGGGGTAAAAGTCAGTCACTCACTCACCCACTCCTCCAATGACATGACATTACATCCTCCTAGAAGCAAGCTAGCTAATTTTAGGTTCTGTGTTTTTAGCTGGCTACATAAATAGATACGCTAGCCTATTAGCCATGTTATGAGTGACTTATGATCATTGCCCTTGCTAATTTGATTGTATTGACATTCCCAGCCTTAGTTACATTCGTTTATTTTTGTCCAAAATATTGAGTCATTGAAACTGAAACAGTGCATCCCGAATGGAGGCAGCAAACAATGTACCAGGCCAGCTGTGATTTACAACCTGATATTTTTTGGACTACCAAGAACTTTATTGGGGAATTATATTTACATTTTTTTTCTTCATTTTAGTCATTTAGCAGATGCTCTTATCCAGAGCGACTTACAGTTAGTGAGTGCATACATATTTTTTTTTCATACTGGCCCCCCGTGGGAATCGAATCCACAACCCTGGCGTTGCAAGTGCCATGCTCTATCAACTGAGCTACACGGGGCCTATTAAATGAATCATGCATTGAACTGCATCCATCTATTCTGCCAACAATGCCTTAGTGTACGTCATGGAATGTTGAGTCAAATAGAACCTATCTTTAAAACCTGTTATAAAGTTGGTTTTTGTAGCATAAATTGGAAATTTGATATTTTTTACTGATATTATGATTCTCTGTTTGTTTCTTATCTGCAAAGTAGTTAAAATGCTGTCAGTTCCACTTTAATTACCCAGACTAATCTGCATCTGATAGAGAATCAGTCTTTAATTCTATTCCTACATTTTGTGAAATTATTCTGTAAAAAACAAACATTAAAATATCTACAACAAAACCATCATGAACTGATATAGTCTCTCTATTGTACTTCTCCAGATGATAATTAATTCCATGGTCTTTTAATATGTTCCGCATAGGGGATTACATTAGACACAGGTTATAGAAAATAGTTGATTATGTACAGTTCATTCGGAAAGTATTCAGACCCCACATTTTATTACGTTACAGCCATATTCTCAAATTGATTTAAAAAAATAATCCACATCAAGCTACCACAATACAGCATAATGACAAAGCGAAAACAGGTTTTTAGATTTTTTTTGAAAAACAGAAATACCTTATTTACATAAGTATTCAGACCCTTTGAGACACTAAATTGAGCTCAGGTGCATCCTGTTTCCATTGATCATCCTTGAGATGTTTCTACAACTTGATTGGAGTCCACCTGTGGTAAATTCAATTGATTGAACATTATTTGGAAAGGCACACACCTGTCTATATAAGGTCCCACAGTTGACAGTGCATGTCAGAGCAAAAACCAAGCCATGAAGTCGAAGGAATTGTCCGTAGAGCTCCAAGACAGGATTGTGTTCAGGCACAGATCTAGGGAAGGGTACCAAAACATTTCTGAATCATTGAAGGTCCCCAAGAACACAGTGGCCTCCATCATTCTTAAATGGAAGAAGTTTGGAACCACCAAGACTCTTCCTAGAGCTGGCCGCCCAGACAAACTGAGCAAACGGGGGAGAAGGGCCTTGGTCAGGGAGGTGACCAAGAACCCAATTGTCACTCTAGCAAAGCTCCAGAGTTACTCTGTGAAGATGGGAGAACCTTCCAGAAGGACAACCATCTCTGCAGCACTCCACCAATCAGGCCTTTATGGTAGAGTGGCCAGACGGAAGCCACTCCTCTGAAAAAGTTTACATACACCTTAGCCAAATACATTAAAACTCAGTTTTTCACAATTCCTGACATTTAATCGTAGTAAAATGTCCCTGTCTTAGGTCAGTTAGGATCACCACTTTATTTTAAGAATGTGAAATGTCAGAATAATAGTAGAGAGAATTATTTATTTCAGCTTTTATTTCTTTCATCAGATTCCCAGTGGGTCAGAAGTTTACATACGACTTCAACTGTATCTCTGCAGCACTCCATCTATCAGGCCTAGAGTGGCCAGACGGAAGCCACTACTCAGTAAAAGGCAGCTCACTACAACCTAAACTAACATCTTACTCTCAATACCATCCCGCGATATTCTATGATGGGCAGTGTTGTACGGAACCCAAAGATAACATTATATCAAAGCTTTTTGTCCAAACATATATAAAATTATCATATACAGTGAGGGAAAAAAGTATTTGATCCCCTGCTGATTTTGTACGTTTGCCCACTGACAAAGACATGATCAGTCTATAATTTTAATGGTAGGTTTATTTGAACAGTGAGAGACAGAATAACAACAACAAAAATCCAGAAAAAAGCATGTCAAAAATGTTATAAATTGATTTGCATTTTAATGAGGGAAATAAGTATTTGACCCCTCTGCAAAACATGACTTACAACTTGGTGGCAAAACCCTTGTTGGCAATCACAGAGGTCAGATGTTTCTTGTAGTTGGCCACCAGGTTTGCACACATCTCAGGAGGGATTTTGTCCCACTCCTCTTTGCAGATCTTCTCCAAGTCATTAAGGTTTCGAGGCTGACGTTTGGCAACTCAAACCTTCAGCTCCCTCCACTGATTTTCTATGGGATTAAGGTCTGGAGACTGGCTAGGCCACTCCAGGACCTTCATGTGCTTCTTCTTGAACCACTCCTTTGTTGCCTTGGCCGTGTGTTTTGGGTCATTGTCATGCTGGAATACCCATTCACGACCCATTTTCAATGCCCTGGCTGAGGGAAGGAGGTTCTCACCCAAGATTTGATGGTTCTTGGCCCCGTCCATCGTCCCTTTGATGCGGTGAAGTTGTCCTGTCCCCTTAGCAGAAAAACACCCCCAAAGCATAAATGTTTCCACCTCCATGTTTGACGGTGGGGATGGTGTTCTTGGGGTCATAGGCAGCATTCCATCTCCTCCAAACACGGCGAGTTGAGTTGATGCCAAAGAGCTCGATTTTGGTCTCATCTGACCACAACACTTTCACCCAGTTCTCCTCTGAATCATTCAGATGTTCATTGGCAAACTTCAGACGGGCCTGTATATGTGCTTTCTTGAGCAGGGGGACCTTGCGGGCGTTGCAGGATTTCAGTCCTTCACGGCGTAGTGTGTTACCAATTGTTTTCTTGGTGACTATGGTCCCAGCTGCCTTGAGATCATTTTCAAGATCCTCCTGTGTAGTTCTGGCCTGATTCCTCACCGTTCTCATGATCATTGCAACTCCACGCGGTGAGATCTTGCATGGAGCTCCAGGCCGAGGGAGATTGACAGTTATTTTGTGTTTCTTCCATTTGCGAATAATCGCACCAACTGTTGTCACCTTCTCACCAAGCTGCTTGGTGATGGTCTTGTAGACCATTCCAGCCTTGTGTAGGTCTACAATCTTGTCCCTGACATCATTGGAGAGCTCTTTGGTCTTGGCCATGTTGGAGAGTTTGGAATCTGGTTGATTGATCGCTTCTGTGGACAGGTGTCTTTTATACAGGTAACAAACTGAGATTAGGAGCACTCCCTTTAAGAGTGTGCTCCTAATCTCA